TTCCCCGCCCCACCGCGGCGCATCCGCAAAGCCGACGCTCAGAAACCCCGCACGCGGCGCCCGCAGCCCCCCAGCCGCCGCAGGGGTTCACGTGGCGGTGGCATCTCGCACGCCCCCAGCGCCTCGTCCCTAAAGCGCTCGCCAGTCCCATTTCCCAGGGCTCAGGGAGATGAATCAGGGCTGGTGACCCACTAGGGAAATGTCACCATCCCTCGTCCCTCATCCGTAGCTCCTTTCAAAGCGCTGAGCTCTACAGATGCTATCTGTTTACGGGTCCCTTGGCCAACACGGCTAGCTGGGGAGTTAGGAAATCATCAACCCAAGATGAGAGGGAGACAGTCAACCTCTGATTGCACGTTTGGGAAACTTTGGAAGTGACTGGAAGAGAGTCAACTCGGGGGGGATGCAGGCGGCCGGGGACTCCTCTCGAAAACACACCGAACAGTTGGAGTGTGGACAGGCGCAAGACGTCATCTCGAAGCTTAATTACAGGCACTTGTGTTTTAAACCTTTTATTTTATTTGTGGGTCTGGAGTTTTTCTTTCTCTCTCTCTTTTTTTTTTCTGAGAGAGTGGACTGATCAGCGAAAATTTCAGCTGCTAGAACATGACTTCACAACTCTTCAACATTTTAAAAGCACAGTTTGGGGTGTCTGGTCCCCTTTTATAAAGCCATTTTATAGAGTCGAGCTTTTTCTTAGTTTGCATTTTTCATCACCTTCTTTTCAGCAGTAGCCAGCAGACCCGGGGCTAAAGGTACCCACGTCCAGTCGCCTTGGTTTTTCTCCGCAAGCCCAGGATGGCGGGAGCACAGCTCTGTCATTTATACTGGCTGACACTGAGGAAGCCTGAGCTGTGTGTGGGGTAGGTCCCTGGCCCCGACACTCTGCTGGGCAGCCTCTCCCAGCACCGGAGCTCCCTGGCCCTCCCTTCCGCCCCTGGCCCCAGCCGCTTAGAAGGCCTCAGATCTGCGTTTGGGAGGGAACTGGCGTCCTTGATACACCTTTGCCCACACGCAGGTCCTGCCTTGTAATTACTGAGTAAAGGTAAACAAGTCATGAAGAATCCAGAACTGCTTCTCACAGAAAGCCTTCAGCACATCGCAGAGTAAAACGTTGCCTCATAATCCTGGGCTCCGTTCAGAAGCCTTTGTTCTTCCTGCTCCCAGCAGTTTGTGAGGCGGGTACCATCCCCTGGAGGGGTTTCACAGATTCACAGCGAGGGTTTCTTCGCAGCCAGAGCCAGGTGACAATCTGGCAGCCCAGTCCTGTTGCTTGCAAGGATCTGTTCCGGTCCCACCTCGGCCTGCTCTGGGCCTGGGCAACGGTTCATTCCCCAGCTTGGATCACACTCCTCAAGCTTAAAACTAGGTTCCTCCTCCCATGAATGAGTCATGAATCCAGTGCTTGGAACGACAGAGATAAACATAGAACAATAACATTAGTGGGCAATCACATTATTGAACACGCTCTCTGTGCCCGGCCCTGTTTTTAAAGCTTTTACAGGTACCGAAGCAACCCTATGAAGTACATGCTATTAACACCCCCATTTTGCAGTTGAAGAAACTGAGGCAGAGAAAAGGCACTGGGTTTTGAGTTGTACGAGTCAAGACCCTAACCACCTGTGTACCTTTGGACTAAACGCTGTCTCCTCATCTGTAAAATAGCCCAGCCCTCGCCGGCTATTGCGAAAAAGCAGTAAGTAAATCAAGGCTCAGTTAGAAGCAATAACCAGCTGCCTAGCTCATGAGGGATAGGGGGTATTTCAGAGAAATTCCGGATCAAGTTAGAAGCAATAACCAGCTGCCTAGCTCATGAGGCAGAAGAGAAAGGGATAGGGGGTATTTCAGAGAAATTCTGGATCGAAGAGACTAATTGAGTTCGAGTCCCACTTTCTACAATGTAATCACATAGTGTTACTGTTTGGGGAAAGAGAACTTCCGCCTGCGTCCCCGGTAAAGGGGAGATAAGCAGCCAAACCCCGGAGCAGCACCTCTGGGCAGCCAGTCCTGCATTCCTCTCTGGTCCTTCCTTGGCGCCACTTGGCTCCCTTGCCAGAGATCTGGGCCAGGGAGAGGGCCTGAGGGAGAAGACGGCACAGATGAGGAAAAAAATCCAGAAGTGACTGCCATCCAGAGAGCCATAAAAATGCTTTTAACTTGAATAAACGGTGGCACAGCGTGCAGAGGGAAATTACATGCAAATACCATGCATCCTTTGTGTAAACAGCCTCACAGCATCCTATCCACTTCCGCATTGTGGATGCAGCCCTTGGGAGAAAGCCAGCAGAGAACCCGGCGTTTAAGGGTCACAGGGATTTTCTCTAAGCATCCGTGGAAGGCAGGGAGGGAAAAGCCACGTATTTCATCAGCTCTGAGCCCTTCTTCTCAACCTTGGGTCTAAGAGAAAAAACAGAAGCATAGGGACGAGTAATTTCTAGGTCAGCTAGTCCCTTTGGGCTTTTAATTTTGTTCGTTTTCGCTGTCCTGGTTTCAGCTCACCTTTGTAACATATCCACTCATTTCAACAATTTGCACAGATGCCTATAACAGGAAGGAGAGAGAGCCTGCAGGTGAAAAGCCGACAGACTATACCCTGTGCAGCACAGCACCCCGAGGCAGTGGGGCTGAGTGGGGGCTAAGACAGGCCCCTTCTTGACTGTCTGCTTCGCCGAGTTCTGCCCTGTTAAGGTGATGAGAAGATTGGAGTCCCGGATGTTCTGAGCAAGCGCAGGGTCTCCCCAAAAGAGAGGGGTCCCAGTCGCAACCCACAGCCCCTGATCCTGGCTTCAGCAGATTAAAGCTGAAACCACCAGCAGAAAGCTGCACATTCTGCTCCGGCTACGTTGACGCTGACAGAGGGGGCCCCATTCTAAACGCTTTGGGACCCGGCAAACAGTTTCTGGCACCCTAAGGCTCCGTGGAGAAAAATGACCTTGTCCATTAGGAAATCGGCAACCCGGCTTTCACAGTTTGCTCCTTGCCAAGTGTGAATTCCTCACTAATTTTCTCCTCGGCTAACAGAGGAAAACTGTTCAAACAGCTGCAGACCTCGGTTGGGTTTGTAGCTCCTTAATCTACTTTTCAAGTTAAGACCCAACTGAATGACGACGTTTACGCTGCCCAGTGTGTCTGGACCCAGGGCGAGGAGAGGAAGCGCCTAAGGTGTAACCTTTAAGTTGATGCTCACCCTCAGTGTCGGGCCGGTACCTTACCTGCCTCACCTTCATTCTGGCCCTGTTGCCCAGGCATCTGGCATTTGGAGAAATGAAGGACCTGGGTCATTAATCCTATTCAAGAAGCAGCGTAAAGAAATGTTTGTTCTATTTTGCTTTTCTTTAGTCCCAGATCCTTTGTAGCCAGTACCAGACCCCATCCGCCCTGCCCTGCTTTCGGTTTTGAGCTCAACCCCACGGGGCCTGCACGGTCTGCACGATAAAGTCGATATAAAAACAATGCACTGTGAATATTTCAGCCCGGTGTGTGCGGATCAGCTGCCCCCTCTGCCTTTCCCGGTGAGTACACTAGGCAGGCAGGAAGCTCGGCATCTTTCTCCTGTTACCCAGAGATACCAGACTGTGGAGGAGGCGGTGTGGTGACAGCCCCCACGGTGCTCCAACAAATGCTCAGCTGCGATTACTTAGACAATCGACGGGGGGAAATGAGAACAAATTGTCTTCCTTCTCCCAGGGTTTCTTGACAACGTGTGTCCCGGCTGGAGCGTCAGATCTGGAAGGAGCCTAAAGGTCATCTACTCCAGCCCCGACTCACCCTACAGATGAGGCAGCTGCAGCCTGGCTAGGGGAAGGGACTTGCCCAAGGCCACACATTCAGAGGCCGGGGATCCTAGGCTCCATGTGCTGGGCCTCGCTTTGGGAAACCCGCAGTGCTGGTTTGGTTTCTTGTTTTTGCAGGGTAGGCTGCCTTCCAGAGCCAGTGTAAGGGGACAAATTGACTCAAGGACAAAGCTCAGAACCCAAGTGCCTCGCTGACACCCAACGAACCGCCTTTGCATGGAGTTATCA